GGTAGCTCAGAGAAAAAGAATCAGAGAATAAGAATCAACTGCTCCAGGCCAGGCGCGGTGGCTCACTCCTGTAATCCCAGCACTTTGAGAGGCCAAGGTGGGTGGATCACAAGGTCAGGAGATTGAGACCATCCTGGTTAACACGGTGAAACCCCGTCTCTACTAAAAATACAAAAAATTAGCCAAGTGTGGTGGCGGGTGCCTGTAGTCCCAGCTACTCGGGAGGCTGAGGCAGGAGAATGGCGTGAACCAGGGAGGTGGAGCTTGCAGTGAGCTGAGATTGCGCCACTTCACTCCAGCCTGGGCGAGACAGCGAGACTGTGTCTCAAAAAAAAAAAAAAAAGAAAAGAAAAGAAAAAAGAATCAACTGCTCCAAGAGCACACATTTCGAAGCATTGTCCTGAGCCAAATGGAAACCACCTCACCTGAGAGGCAATCCCCACTTCCACTCTTAATCCTTGCCCCCATCCTTGGCCCATGACTAGCACTGCTACGAAAGGCTGTCCTTGCTTCACCTCAAAGTGGAACTAACTCCATGGGAGAGTTTGGGCTCTAGAGTGTCTCTGTGGGATCAGACTAAAGCCAAGCCTCAGCCGAGACCACACTGCTGCTTCTTCCCCTGGCCCTATTCTGCCTCCCTTTCCCCCTTCTCCCAAGAATACTCCCCCATAAATCACTTGAACAGAATCCCCGTCTCAGGCTAAGGAATCTGCATAAGATCCATCTGGCATCCTGCTGTGCTGGCTCTCGCTGACAGAGAAATTTCACTGGGACTCTTTTCTTTTCTTTTTCTTTTCTTTTCTTTTCTTTTCTTTTCTTTTCTTTTCTTTTCTTTTCTTTCCTTTCCTTTCCTTTCCTTTCCTTTCCTTTCCTTTCCTTTCTCTTTCTCTTTTCTCTTCTTTTCTTTTCCCTTTCCTTTCTCTCTCTCTCTTTCTTTCTTTTTCCTTCCTTCCTTCCTTCCTTCCTTCCTTTCTTCCTCCCTCCCTCCCTCCCTTCCTTCCTTCTTTCCTTTCTCTCTCTCTCTTTCTTCCTTTTTTTTTTTCAGGATCTTGCTATATTGCCCAGGCTGGAGTGCAGTGGTGTTATCATGGCTCACTGCAGCCTCGAACTCCAGGACTCAAGCAATACTCCCACCTCAGCCTCTCAAGTAGCCAGGGCCACAGGCATGCGCTACCACACTGGCGGCTCTTCTTTTTTCTTTTTTTTTTTCTTTTTGGAAATAGAGCCTTGCTCTGTCGCCCAGGCTGCGGTGCAGTGGTGTGATCTTGGTTCACTATAACCTCCGCCTCCTGGGCTCAAGCAATTCTCTTTCCTCAGCCTCCCAAGTAGCTGAGACTACAGGTATGCACCATCATGCCCACCTAATTTTTACATTTTTAGTAGAGACTGGGTTTCACCATGTTGATCAGGCTGGTCTTGAACTCCTGACCTCAAGTGATCTGCCCGCCTTGGCCTCCCAAAGTGCTAGGATCACAGGCGTGAGCCACTGCATAAGGGCGCATCTTTTCTATCGTGGCAAAACGTATAGCCTTGGAGCAGCTGAATTCTTATTCAGGATATGGGGCTGACTGCCCAGTAAATCAACCCTTACAAAATTCACACTGGGTCTTACCCAGGAAGTCATTCAGAGGCACAGTAACCCTGATGACACAGCGTCTGACCAGAGAACACAGTCCACAGCAGTAGAGTCCAAGCGTGGGTCCAGAATCCATCTTGCCTGCCGTGCAGCCAATGAGATGGTCACATGGGGCAGACACCTCAAGAGCCAGCTCAGATCTTCCAAATACTAGCATGCAGTGCGGTGGCCCCTGGCTTTACTTCAGGCTGGCCAACTTCTCAATAGTTGCTCCCTTTCTGGTACTGGCTCCCCAGTCACACTCCTCCATGGAGGACAGGTAGGGGAAACGGTAGCCAGTGCCTACCTCACTGGGTTATTGTGAGGGTTCATTGAGATAGTGCAGGTAAGGCTTTTATCACAGATCCTGGCATCTGCCAAGCTCTTAAGTGTGCCAGCTGGTACCATTGTTGTCACCATCTCCTGGAACTACAGGATCCATCTCAGGGCCCCTCACACACTGCTCTTCCCCTCCAACCTGTGAGCTCCAGTGCCTCTCCATTTCCTGAGGGTGGGGTGGCTAACAAAGCTCTCTGCCCAAGCCCCTGAGTACTACATTTCCAGCTCTCATCCCTGTGGGGACCAGCACTGCCCTGGGGAAGGAGACTGGTGGGAACCAACAGGAAATGCTACAGGTGAGGCTCCCAGCCCATGAGCTGGCCAGTATTGAGCTTCTGTGATGGGTCAGGTTTCCACGGCCACAGAACACAGCCCTGGGAATCAGGAACCTTTCTTGCTTCTATAGGCGTAGTGAAATGGAAAAGAGTGTTTCTAAGTGAGTCATGGTGTCTGATTGGCAGGCCCATCCAGGAAGAACAGTGAGATTACCAGTGAGAGTAGAGTGAAAGACGCAGCCACGCCTTTGACGCCACAGCAGGACACCAGGTGTCCGTTTTTGTTCTACCTAACAATTGTATTGAATTTGTGGTGCCCTACTTGTCAGCACTTCTGTATGGACCCTGCTGGTCTTTGGTAAATTGTTTTCCTGGCTCCTCCCAGGAGGCCTTAAGTCCTCTCCATGATTACTCCTGTAAAAGTATCTGGCTTCGCCCTTAGGCCCAGTGAGGGCCATATCAGACCACTTCTCTGACAGGGGGAGAAGATGGAACAATCACGGAATCATTTTTGCCTGTATAGCGAATCAGCTTATCAACTGTGACTTGATCAATAAGGCAAAGGAAATCCAAATTAATAGTCTCCACGGCCCCCGCCAATAGCTGGAGGAAGTGTACTTTAGAAGGAAGATATAGCTTTTAGTATAAAACCTGTAATAGACAGGAACATCACCCCTGAACCCAAGAGCATAACATGAATTAAGACCCTTGGTTTGCAGAACATCTTGATCTGGATCAAACTGAAAAGGAACTATCTCAGTTTCTCTATAGTTTCACTATATGAAAAGCTGATATGAGGCTGGGCACAGTGGCTTACACCTGTAATCCCAGCACTTTGGGAGACTGGGGCAGGAGGATCACTTGAGCCCAGGAATTCTAGACCTGGGCAACATGGTAAGACCCCGTCTCTACAAAATAAGTAAATAAATAAATATTAGAATAACTGGGATGAAATTTTTTAAAAACAGAAAAAAATTAGCTGGCGTATGGTGCACATCTGTAGTCCCAGCTACTCTGGAGGCTGAGGTGGGAGGATTGCTGGGAGGTCAAGACTGTAGTGAGCTGATTTTGTGCCACTGCACGCCAGCCAGGGAGACAGAGTGAGACCCTGTCTCAAAAATAATAAATAAACAACTAAATAAATAAAATGCTAATATGAGCTGGAGAGGCAAGAGGAATAGAAGGTAAAACAACAACAAGGGAAATACACTTTATAAGTGCAATCAATTAAATATTAAATATTTGGGAACAGTGATCTCTGAACTGCTTGGGTAAAATTTGCCCTGCCTGGTGGCCTTAAGCACTCCTGCAGATGGGGCCAGGCATCCTAGTTCTACCAGGCCTCTTGCTGCTGCCGTAGATGAGCCCCAGACTTGGCCTTGCATTTTGTATTGGATAATGACCATGTGTGCCCAGATGTTCTCAGTGAGTAGAGTGGGTCAAGGAGTAAACTATATCGGAGACCATTGGATAATCATGCCAAGCAGACTGGGGGGTTCCAGCCTTTGGGGTACTGGAATGCTTTCTTTTCCTGGGACCAGCTGAACTGGCTCTGTAGTTGCCAGGAGAGCAGTGTGCTCTAACACTTAGGCTAGTCCATTCCCACAGGAGAACTAGAAGAGTTACAAGTAAAGAGTATAAAAGCCCAAGGTATTTCTTTAGTCTTTGTATTTAACTCTATGTCATCATTTTTTTGTTTGTTTTGTTTTGTTTTGTTTTGTTTTTTAAAACAGGTTCTCACTCCTGTCGCCCAGGCTGGAGTGCAGTGGTGTGATTATGGTTCACTGCAGCCTTGACTTCCCAGGCTTAAATGATCCTCCCACCTCAGCCTCCCGAGTGACTGGGATTACAGGTGCACGCCACCACATCTGTCTAATTTTTTCTATTTTTTTTTGTAGAGACAGGGTCTCCCTATGTTGCCCAGGCTTGTCTTGAAGTCCTGGGCTCAAGCGATCTACCCGCCTTGGCCTCCCAAAGTGCTAGGATTATTGCTACTTTCCAATATTTCTACTACAGACTACAGGAAGTCCATTTTTCAATGCCAAATGCAGAAGAAAAAGTTGTATGGATGCCCTTTCTGCCAATCATCCCAGGTTTAGGAGAGAAGAATGATGAGGTCAAGTTCATGGAACTTGACGAGGGATGAGCCTCTTTATTTGCCCAGTGCTTGGATACACAAATCAATGCAACGAAAGAGACCTTGCCTGTGAAGAGCTAAGAAATGAATGTGGGCAGAATCATGAGAAGAAAATAAAGGGGTTGCTGAGCAACTCTTCTGATAGTTCTTGTGCTTTTGAATGTTTCACTCACTACTTATAAAATAACCTATTATGTCAGAGCCTGGCGAGAAGGAATTCTCTCCAACTCTTTGACTAATCATTCCCTAAAACAGGAGGTGGCCTGCAGAAGAACTAAAACCATAAAAGTTAGGTGGTTGCCTCTGAGGAATGGGACAGAGTTGGAGGGGCAGAGCAGCCCCTTTACTGTCAACCCTTCTGAGCTCTGCTGGATGGTGAGGGAAATTATCTATGCATATTTATGCGGTCCTCTCCCCACTCTGTCCTGGCCTAGCTCAGCTCTGGGTCTCACTCAGCGGGCCCCAGTGGGTGTGCCGGGCCTCAGAGACTGTTTCCTCAGGAAACAGGCCACCAAGAAGCCCAGGGATGTGCTGAGGTCCTACAGCTGGATGGGCGCGGCCGGGACACCTGAGGTCCTCTAGCTGTTGGTCTTTCCCTGGGGTCTCCACCCCAATCTATCCAGCCTCCCAACTCCCCAGCCTGTGACTTTTCACCAAATTCCACCTGAAAAGGGGCTGGGATCCTTACTGGGGGCTGGGATCCTTGCTGGCCGTGCCTCCTTGAGGGGAGGAGCAGGGGAGAAGCCGGGAGTATCCTGGCCTGGAGGAGGGGAGCAGTGTGTCAGAACAGCCCCGGATGACACCCAGGACAGCAATAACACCTGCCAGCCTGGTGCTGCTGGACTCCCTGCCAGATACTTCCCAAGTAGGAGCACATTGACTCCTCATAGGTTCTAGTACCCACCGCCAGTTGAGGCAGCAAGTTAACTTTGACAGTCAGGAGTAGAGACCTTTGGGCTCCAAGCTCAAGATCCACCCCAAGACACACAGCCCATTAAATCCTTGTTGTAGAGATTAGGGCCAACAACAATGTTGGTTATAAGCTGCAATGTCGGGAATGTTTCGAAGCAAGCATGGTTGCTGCTGGACGTGTTGTGCTCCTGGCTTCCCTCTGGATGCCGACAGAAACAAGGGTGAGAGTTAACGACAGTAGGAGAGGAGGGAAGGCGGGACTGGAGAAAGGAGGGGAAGTGGGTAGCATGGGGCAAAGTGGAAAAGCAGGTGGTGTCCTTTTTTCCTTCACTGGGGCTTGGTGAAGATCCCTTCAAGGACAGCTCCGGGCCCATCCCTGTGGTGACCACCCACAGAGACAGGAGTCCTGCTCAGAGACAACATTTAGTTTTCTTTTCTTTTCTTTTTTTTGAGGTAGAGTCTCACTCTGTTGCCCAGCCTGGAGCTCAGTGGCGTGATCTCTGCTCACTGCAGCCTCCACCTGTCAGGTTCAAGCAATTCTCCTGCCTCAGCCTCCCGAGTAGCTGGGACTACAGACACCTGCCACCATGCTTGGCTAATTTTTGTATTTTTAGTAGAGAGGGGGTTTCACCATGTTGGCCAGGCTGGTCTCAAACTCCTGGCCTCAAGTGATGTGACCGCCTTGGCCTCCCAAAGTGCTGGGAGTACAGGTGTGAGGCACCGCGTCCGCCCGTCCCCCCGTCTTTTTTTTAAAGGTAGAGTCTTGCTTTTTGGCTAGTTTTCAATCAAGGTAACACATGGGCTCTCAACAGTGTGTGGAATACTGCTAGAATAATGAAATTATGAGAACACTGTTACTGTGTGATCCCCTGTTGGAAAATGAAAAACATAAAATAATACACATTTAGGAAAAAAAAAAGTGGAGAGAAAAGGCTGGGTGCAGTGGCTCATGCCTGTAATCCTGGCACTTTGGGAGGCCGAGGTGGGTGGATCACCTGAGGTCGGGAGTTCGAGACCAGCCTGACCAACATGGAGAAACCCTGTCTTTACTAAAAATACAAAATTAACCAGGCGTGGTGGTGCATGCCTGTACTCCCAGCTACTTGGGAGGCTGAGGCAGGAGAATCGCTTGAATCTGGGAGGTAGAGGTTGTGGTGGAGCCAAGGTCGCACCACTGCACTCCAGCCTGGGCAACAAGAGTGAAATTCCATCTCAAAAAAAAAAAGAAAAAAAAGGAGAAAAATGCCACAAACTCAACAATGGTCATCCCTGGGGGCTCGGACTCTGGGGATTTAAACCCTCATTCTGTATATTTCTCCAGTGTTTCAATGTTTAGTGATGCACTTGTAATGCTTTGGTAATTCAAATGACAGATGAAGAAAAATGTTTTCAAAGAGAGGGGGTATCCATCCACCATCCTCCCCAAACTTCCAAAACAACCAGGATGTGCCAGTACTAGGAAGTATTTATGCATCATAAAGGATTTTGTCCTGAGTGCATACCGTTAATTATTAAAGAGATATTGTCAATCCCATCAGATGAGTTTAATGTTTAGTTTGAGGACTGAAAAACTAAAGCGTTCAGTCCTTCACTTTGCACGCTGTTGGCTTAGGCATTCATTTAACAAAGATGAAATGAAGGGGGAAATGGTGTGATTTGGTTTTGTTTTCTTGACAGACCTGAAACACTTACTATTTCTGACAGCTACACTGCTTTCCTCATTTTCCAGCATAGGAAAATTGGTTGCTGTTATAATAAATCCCCATTAGGTGAGAAAGGGAGATAGATCAAGATGCAAAATGAAAGATAAAATGCAAAAAGCTAACAGCCTGGCTGGGGAAAGGAGGCCACGGGAGGCAAGGAGGGGGAGGGAAATAATCACATAGGTGGCTTCCTGGAAGAGGTGACCTTAGTAGGCCTGGAAGAGGTCAGTTTGGGAACTGGGGAGAGGGCAGAGGAGGGCATCTCTGCTGGAGAAGCAGCAGCCAGTGGGCAGGAGCTTCAGGGAGCCAGGTTGCAAGTGGGCCTGCTTCCTGTATCCCTGACACGGGGTTGGGGTTCCCACCCTGGCTGTGGCCCTGGCCTCTGGGGAGGCGCTGGGCAGAACTGGGTGGCAGGCCCAACCTACTCCGACCCTGGACTCTGCCCAGGAATTTCTGCTGAAGTGACAAGGCAAGCCAGAGCAAAAGCAGGTTGGATCCAGCTTGTCCCCACAAAGACGTGTTCTTCTCTCTCTCTGAGAGCGACCTGTTCACCGCAGATACGTGAGTAGAAACAGGGCCCTGCCTCTGTGTGCGCCGCTGTGTGTCTGTGTGTGATCTGGGGCATTTCCAGGCTCCGCCTGTGTGTGTGCATGCACGTACACGAGTCTCTGAGTATGTCAGCCTAACTGGGCTTACATTTGGATGGAGTAGGGCATTCCCCAAGGGGAGAAAAAGGAGTGGGAACAAGAGTAGGGAGAGAGGAGGTGTTAGTTAGCACTCTTATTTACAGAGGAATTTAAGCCTATGAACTGAGCTTCAGCAAAAAATGAACTATATTGATTTTTGCAATGGAAAAGTCCAGGGGTAGGATTGGTTTCAGGTATAGTTGGATCCAGGGACTGGAATGATGCCTTTAAGGATGTTGCACCTCCATCTTTCAGAGATGGAAAAGTAGAATACAATGAAGATCTCGCTTAATAGTAATAGTTTTAACCCATTGTAGGGAGTGATGAAAGCTAGGTCCTCTCTTCAGAAAAATGCCTGTATCAGATACATATGCATGCTGTATATAATTCCTTACTTTCCTTCTCTATGAAGTGGGCAGAATTTACTGTTTCTGCCTGGAACTCCCAGAGTTCACAAGGACTTGCCTCTCACAGGTTCAGATGTGGGTGCAGGCTGGGGTGGTGGTTCATACCTGTAATCCCAACACTTTGGGAGGCTAAGGTGGGAGGACTGCTTGAGCCCAGGAGTTGGAGACCAGCCTGGGCAACATAGGGAGACCCAGTCTCTAGAAAAAGGAAGGGGTACCTCATCTATGTGCTGGGAAGCCAAGGCTGCAGTCCCAGTCACAAGGAGGGGTGAGCTCTGGGATGGCACAGGTGGCCCCCAGGCAGGGCTCTGGCTGTGCCAGGCATCTGCTCCCCCAACTCCGCCCTCTCCCACTTGCCCAGGCCCCTAACCTGGGCCCTGCCTGGCCTCCCTCTCAGCGCTGGGCCTCGCTGATTTGTCTTTCAGCTGGAAGGTCTGGAACATGGAGAATGACCCCTCAGGACGAAGACAGTCCATCTCTCTCACACCTGTGGCCAAGGGTCTGGAGAATATGGGGGCTGATTTCTTGGAAAGCATGGTCTGTGCCCTTCCCCATCAGTCATCCTGACCCCTCAGCCTCTTTGACTTGAGTCTGGCTGCCGAGGGGGTGAGGCTTTTGCTCACCACCTTCCCTCACACCCCATTCTTCTGCCTCCTTCTCACCTCCTTGCTCACACAGTTAGGAACCTCCCAGTGTGTTGGCCTCCTCAACACAAGGCAGCCCCCTTTATTTCAGTCATTATACATTGACTGAGCACGTACTGTGTGCACTATAGTCTGAAAGTCCTAGTCTGAAAGGGCAGGGCAGGCCCCAATGAGGAAGTGACACTTGAGCTGTTACCTACAGAATGAGAATAAAAACCAGATGACGGGGGAGGGGGTCTCTAAGGAAATCTCAGCCTTCAAGGAGCCTTGTCCTTGCTTTCAAGTGGCCAGGTCATGTCGAGGCACACCACCCAGAACTTGGAGCCTAGTAGGACACCCTGCACCCTCCCAGCCTGCTCTGACAAAGCCCCCTCCCCTTCACTGCCCTTGTCTCTTGGGGTGCTCCTTTCATGCTGTCATCTGCAAGAATGCCCACCCCCCACTCAAAACAGCTCCACAGACTCGGGGGTGCATGGTGCCCTGAGGTCATGCGTTGAGGTAGCCCTGTCTGGGGCCTCCCTTACAGGCCTCCTCTCAGTCCCTTCCAGTCACAGCTGGGTGGCAGGTGTCTGTCCCTGCGCAGACCATGAGCTCGCTGAGGGCAGGATGTGTCTGGCAGAGCCCTCTGCACACAGTAGGTGCTCAGTGCCTGCCTTGCAGAATTCAGTTCAGTAGCCTTCTAATTCCTCCCTGTGCCCCAGCCCAGTCCCCTCCTCAGCCAGGGTCTCACCGTGGCCCCCGACCCCTGGCTGTAAGTTCCTGTGGGCAGGTAAGGGGCAGGCTGCCCTGACAGCCCCCTGCTGGCTGTAGGAGGAAGGCCAGCTCCCTGGGAGCGACTTGAGCGCCACCGAGATCAGGAGCAACTGGAGAGAGGCGGCGCCGAAGCGCTTCTCCAGATGGTAGGTGATCTCTGGAGAGACAAGGGTGGGCCTGGGGTGGAGGCTGCTTGGGAACAGGATGCGGAGCCGGGCCTACTGGCGGATGGGAGTTGTGGGGACGTGAACCTTTGTTGAAGGAAGGAATAAAGGCGCTTTAGCCAACACGCACAAGCACATTAGACTCAAGGGTGAGCCAAATCATGGGCTCCCCACCTGCTTTTGAGCAGCTCAAATGAAATCCCATCAGGAACCCCAGTATATACCATGGTGGGGCCTGCTCTGAACCAGCTAGACCTCCCTCTCAACCTCCCCTTCTGCCTTCTCCCCCTATTCAGTCTCTGGGGTACCTTGGGGAGTCCCAAGACTCCGGTTAAAAATCCTGAACTGGGCAAGGCCCCTGATTTTACACGGGGAGGTGGAAGCCCAGAGAGGGGAAGGGACCAGCCTGGGTGGCATAGGCAGCAAGTGTCTGAGGTGAGCCTAGAACTCTGCCTCCTGATGTCTGGGCAGTCTGGGTCCTTGCTGGCCAGATGTGGAGCTAAGGACACCGTGATGGGTAGGGGGTGGTGGTGGGGGAGGGATTCCATTTCTCTGCCTGGGCAGGGGGTATGGGAAGAATGCCTCCCCAACCCTCTCAGGAGGTGGGAGGTGGGGACTGAGAGGGGGCGAGAGGCTCCTTAAAATGGCAGCTGGTGGGTGGATTCCAATTAGCATTGAGTAGGCTCAATATGTGTCCCATGGGCACGTGGATGAACGACAGGGAAGGGGAGGCAGCCATCCGTGTTTGTCTTTCTTTCTTGCTTGCTTTTCCTTCCTTCATTCTTTCCTTCCTTCCTTCCTTCCTCTCTCTCTTTTTTTTTTGAGGCAGGTCTCACTCTGTTGCCTGGGCTGGAGTGCAGTGGCATGATCTTGGTTCAGCCCCTCCTGGGCTCAAGCGATTCTCCTGCCTCAGCTTCTTGAGTAGCTGGTACTACAGATGCACGCCACCTGCCCAGCTAATTTTTGTATTTTTGGTAGAGACGGGGTTTGTCAGGTTGCCCAGGCTAGTCTCAAACTCCTGGGCTCAAGCGATCCACCCTCCTGGGCCTCCCAAAGTGCTGTGATTACTGGCATGAGCCACCGCGCCCCCCAGCCACATTTCTGTATGTTGATGAGGTTCTGCCTTTTCAGTGAACTTCCTCCCGAGCCCTGGAGGCAGGGACTATCACTGGGGTAGGGGGGCCTGTAGGTGCTGCCACAGAGGCAGGAAGGCCTGAGCCATTTCTCTGTTCGCCCTGAGCTGGGGTTGCCCTGCAACCCTGTGAGGATGTCAAGGCAAGCCCTGGCTTGCCCCTGTTGCCACTTTACCAGGGACATACCTGAGTGGAGGTGCTGAGGATCTCACCCAGGTGGGGTCTGCTCATGCACTCATGGACCCTACTGGTCCTGTTCCCAGGAAGAACCTGCAGCCAGCCCTGAGAGCCAGAAGTTTCTGCAGGGAGCACATGCAGCTGTTTCGATGGATCAGCACAGGCCTGCTCTGCACTGGTGAGCCTGGGGCCCAGCACTACCCAGGACACGATGACTCCTGCCTCAGTTATCCATGTCTCAGGGCAGGATTATTCACTTACCCAGTCATTCAACAAATGGTTGTTGAGCACCAACTCAGGGCCAGTTCCCTTGCTGGGTACTGAGGCATCCATTAAACCAGGCCAGATCTTGTTCCCAAGACACTCCCTCATCAGTAAGGGAGGGGGAAGAACTATTTCCACATAATGCAGCATGTCATCTGGGAGCACCAAGGAGGGATGGGGGATGGTCAGGGAGGACTTCCAGGAGGAGGTGACATTGGAGTCTCACAGGCTGAGTAGGAGTTAGCCAGGTGTAGGGGAAGGACACTAAGGAGGGCAAAGGCACTCCACACAGGGGAGTCACAGGAGCAAAGGTGAAAACTGGCAGGGTGTGGGTTTTGATAAACCTCGATGTCTGCACTCTAAGGTCTGGAGGGTAAAGTTCTACACAAGGAGTGCCAGGGGATGGGGCTGGAGGGATAGGAAAGGGCCCGGGATGGGGAGTGGGTAGGGAGATGGGAGGATGCTCAGGGACTTAGATTTTACCCTCAAGGCCAGAGAGAGCCACTGAAGGGTTTGAACAGGGAAGCATCAAGGTGGAATTCACACTGTGGGACCCTGGAAGGAGGGCAGGAAAGATGGGGAGAAGGAGACATTGAGGGCTGCAGTGCCTGTGTGAGAATGAAGCTGGGGAAGGTGGGCGGGGGCAATGGGAGAGGTCCTAGGGAAGCAATACTAGCTGCACTTGGGAATGACTGGATGTGCAGGACGAAGGAAACCCTGAATCAGGGCTGCCCCAGGGGCCTGCTCGGGTAATGGGAGGATGATGGTGGCTTCCACAGAGCTAGAGAACATGCGTGCAGGAGGGAGTCTTGGAAGGAAGGGGGATAATTCGGGCAGTTTGTTGGAGGTACCACTGCCAGGCCATCTGAGAGAGAGAGGAGGCTCCCCAGGCACACTTGGAGAATGAATTGAGAAGTGGGTCAAGGAGAGAAGCCTGGAGACCAGCCACACAGAAGGGGTTGGTGGCAGCCAAAGGAGCAAGGGTTTCAAGGAGGGAAAGATCAGCAGCATCTCTGCAAGACCTGCAGGACAAAATGAGCCATGTCCACCGATTTTGGGACAAGGAAGCCGTTGATGACTTAGGGTGTAGGTGCAGAAACTGAATTTGAGCAGATGGGAGAAGAGGCTGTGCAGACAGCAAGTGTAAATGGCTTGTGGGATCAATTTTTTTTTTTAATTATTATATCTTAAGTTCTAGGGTACATGTGCACAACATGCAAGTTTGTTACATATGTATACATGTGCAATGTTGGTGTGCTGCACCCATTAACTTGTCATTTACATTAGGTATATTTCCTAATGCTATTCTTCCCCCACCGCCCACCCCATGACAGACCCCAGTGTGTGATGTTCCCCACCCTGTGTCCAAGTGTTCTCACTGTTCAGTTCCCACCTATGAGTGAGAACATGCAGTGTTTGGTTTTCTGTCCTTGCAATAGTTTGCTCAGAATGATGGTTTCCATCTTCATCCATGTCCCTACAAAGGACATGAACTTATCCTTTTTTATGGCTGCATAGTATTCCATAGTGTATACGTGCCGCATTTTCTTAATCTAGTCTATCACTGATGGACATTTGGGTTGGTTCCAAGTCTTTGCTATTGTAAATAGTGCTACAATAAACATATGTGTGCATGTGTCTTTATTTGTAATTTGTAATCCTTTGGGTATATGCCCAGTAATGGGATG